AAAAAAAAAAGTAAAATAGTAATACAAACAAAAAAGCAAATCAGTTATGAGCTCTTGACATGACTTATCTAGTAAGCTAAGCTAAATAACAACACAACATTCATTCAACAAATCGAGCTCAAAGTGAAAGGCAACCTAAACTTTCTTTTTTTTTTTTCAAAAAAAAAAATCAAGCTAGTCAAAAATTTGTTCATCCTTTCATCCGATGCTAGTCAAATACTTCGTAGTACGTTTCAGTCAAAATATGATTCTACGGCAATAAGCAGTTGCGAAAGTTTTTCCAAATTCAAGCACTCCATGCTTACTCAATCAATAAAATTTGTGTCAATATATTTATGTATGTATTCGTTGTAAATGCTGCACCACGCGAGACTCGTAGCAGTTGCTTTCAAAACTAAAAAAAAAAAGCACCGCCTCAATGTTGAATGTAGCTCGAGTTTGCACAATTTCATAAAATTTTTGGTTTCTAAAAGCACAGAACGAAATTCGTGATTTTCTTCAAAAGCCAAGATACAAAAAAAAAAATAATAATATAAAAGAACCCAACACAAATCAGCGCAAAAATTGATGAGAAGATCAACATGTGCAGTCTAGACGATTTCTTTGCTAAGAAGGACCGTAAGAAGTCCACAACAAAAACAAATTTCTTGGCCGCCGACGAGCTCTATCGCACACTGGAGGAGACCGCCAAGGCGGCCCAGGAGGTGGACAGCGCCGAGAAGCTGCAACTGGAGGCGACCAACAATCAGAATCAGCAGAATTCGTCGCTTGAATTCGGCGTACGCTTCTCCGACGAGACCATCGATGAGGAGGATGAGTGGTGCGACTTCACTGAGGAGCACGATCAGCCATTTCCCAATCTCAAACGCAACTCCAAGCTGATATTGGGCGCAACCGCTGCCAGCGAGAATGTGAAGCTGACTGACGAGAACTGTCCCTACCAGGACACGGGCGGCGATGGCCTGGGCGTCGGCTCAACCCAAGACGAGCTGAGCAAGCCAGCGTGTCCCTGGCTGAAGCCCAACGAGCTCACCAGCCTCTCAAGTCCACCCAAGGTCATGGAGGCGGCTCTGCTGTCTCAATCACAATTGCAGTCGCAGTTGCAGTCGCAGTCGCCGTCTGAGTCGCAGTCCCAATCACAGACCCCACTCAAGACTCAGCCAAATGTTGTGCCCAAGAAGCAAGTGTATGTGCCGCCGGCTCTGCGCCAGAGCCAGAGCGATTTCAGTGTTCGTTCACGCAAGCAGTCGACTACTATGGCCATGAAGCTGGCCAAGGGCCAGGCGCCCGATATAAATAATGTCGACTTCTTTCCATCACTCAATCAATCTCGCATGTCAAAGCGTGCCAAGTAGTTTTCGCATTCATAATTTTTTTCTGTTTTTTCTAGTTAACAAATTTAAATTTGCAACAATTAAAGCTTGAGTCCCGATTAAAAAGAATGAAAAAAAGAGATTAAAACAATATCGCTTTCTTCACTCGCACTCACTCTCACTTAGTCTATCTCTGCCTTGCTCTAATCCCTGGCGTGTCATTAGCTGTAAACAAGCCAAATATTTACAGCCAAATCGTTTGAGCGCTAAATGCACCCCGCGGACTGTTTTACGCAACACGCGCCAAACTTTGCCAACAAAATATGCTCATTTCGGGCATTTATCATATCGTTAGATTATCTTTTACGGCCACATATGACCATGAATAAATAAGGCA